CCCCCCCCCCGCTAGGATGCGCCTTGCGCACGGCTATGAATTGGGCCCAAAGAGACGCGTGGGGGAGCCGGGGCGAGGCCCAATTATACCAAGAAAATACAGCCCATAAAGACGGGCCTAACCGCCGCCAAACACTGGGGATATGATAATGAGTACCCTTTCTGCCGACTTCGTTTTGCAGTTCCATCGGGACGTAACAAATAGAGGGAAACGACGTGGATATTCGTATTTGGGGGATTTTGATGGAGGGAGGGGGGCAATGAGGGGGGGAGGCATTAATTGCGAGTGGATGAATCCTCGTGATGAATTCGTTGGATTAATCGAGACTTGCGAAAAAATTTTGAGCGAAATTTTTTGAGCTCGAGTTCATCAGCAACTTATTCTTCATCTTAATACAATCATTGCACAGAAAAACCCATGACTTACGGGTTATGCCCCAGATTTGGTCAATTGCGTTATTGTTGAATATGTGGACATAGGGGATTGTCAGCGTGACACTTGCCAGCGTAACTGGATTATGCTGACAAAGTGATGAAATCAGTAGCGAAGTGGTATAACAGCACAAGTCAATTTTGACTATTGGCCAGTTTTCAATGAATATCTCGGAATCGAAGGGAGATAGCAAAATTTTTGTCACAACCTTTTTTGTAGAGCCGATTGAGAACTACAACAAATGTGGTGATGAAAATTTCGCTATTTCTCTTAGATTCGGAAATATTCTTCGAAAACTCAATTGGGAGATGAGTCGACTCAAACCGTTTTACCATTTCGTTACTGAAATGTAAACAATCAATGTATTATTTAAGAGACGATTGAGTCTGGACAGAGCAGTCCTGAATTGGACTCCGAAACGTACGAAAGTCGTAAATTCTTTGTAATCACTCAGATGACACAGTCATTATAATCAAGTAATAGTGTCTCATGAAATGAAATGACTGAAATGAACACACACTCAGAGAAATGGTTTATTTGATTCTACCGGAGGATTCATTTCGACGGAATTATTTCAGTGGTAAATAATGCCCTTGAGGGCAATTGTAGATCAGTATTTACGGTTGAATTTCTCCGCATAAGACATTTTCCTATTCGGCTTGAATATTTCTTCCGGATTTATCCGCACGAGCTGAAATTGCAATTTATCGACAGTACTGATAAAATTCTGGACTTCGTCGCTGCACGCCAGCACTTGGCCCTTATTCATTTCTACGCAGTTTGCCACCTGAAATAATTCGCGAGAGCATATTTGCCCAGTAGATTCAAACGCGAATTTTTTATTCATTCAGAAGAATTTATTTTCCCTCACTTTATTATAATTGATGGGAGAAGTCTTCGGCTCCGTCATTCTCAAGTACTTCTGGATATTTTTGATGCACGCCTCAGCGTCGTCAATGGTCAGACTGAGGCGATCCGTGTGAGCGTGGTCCATGCAAGACAGCTTCTCGTCCCAGTAATTATCGTAATTCACGTTTCGCTCCTCATCGATTTTACCTGGAAGATCAACACGAATCAGTGGAATCGTTGGACCCTTAATTGGATCCTTGTAACCCTTATTTAGCCCCTTAATCTGGCCCTTGTGACTATTATTTGGCCCCTAACTCTTGTGACCCTTAATATGACCCTTGTGACTTCTATTCTGACCCTCATGACCCTTGTGACCTTACTCTGACCCTTGCGACCCTTATTTTGACCCTTGCAACCCTTAATGTGACCCTTGCGACCCTTTATCTGACCCTCAAGGCCCTTAATTTGACCCTCGTGACCCTTACTTTGACCTTTGTGACTTTGTAGGTCTAATTTTGATTACCAGATTTTTATCACCAGAAGTCCATTTGGATTTTCATAATAGAGAGATTTTTATTATTATTATTATTAATATTCTACTATTAGTATACATTAGTAATTACATAATCTAGTGGAGTATATACTCCACGAGAGTATTTTTTATGGCTTGTGTAGATGTAAAACTGTAAAAGTAACATGAAGGAACGTTGAAATCAAGAGCTCGTATAATTGAAACGAAAATTACCTGTTTGCAGCCGCTTCGCCAAATCCTCACCGATCACGAGACCATCGAACTCGGGCTTGGGCGGCTCGTTCCCTAATTTACTGGTGCACGCGGCTTCGTCTTCGTTCATTTTGGGTTTGCTTTTACATCGCATAATTTTGATTTGGAAAATAGAAAAATGTTGACGGGGATTTTGGTCAAGAGGACATTACGGATGACATGTGACTGACAGAATTGTGGAATTCTTTTTTTTTTCGAATGAGAACGGGTTTGAATTAAATTGTTCTAATTGAATTATTAGTTTATTAGTCAAGTTTAACGTAAACGATGTGTTTGTTGAAAATAAATTAATATTTATGCATCAAGAGCGGATTAGATATATTTCTAGTGATTGAGGTCCCAATAATGTTCTCCATAATCTCCGTTTTTCGTGCCCCATCGAACCTATCAATCAAATATATGATAAAACCTCAAATTATAATTAATTCTGAACAAAAATATTTGGGACATTAGTTAAAGTATCAATTACTTTCCCTTGAAACTGATTATTCTCGATATCTTTCTTCTCGAACCGTTGCTCCCACTCGTTCGGATTCTCAAAAACATGACCGAAATGGAATTCTAGGGGTGCAACGTGCTGCGATATTATGTCCCTAGACGTGAACAATAACAAAACAATTTCATTTATAATTCTTATCAAATTAGGAGGCCTCGGGAGTAAAAAAAACTACTGAAATGCGGGCAAAACTTTGCGCCATGAATTCTCAACCGAAAGGAGACGAAAAAATCTAAAAGATGACTTAAAAAATTTGTTCCGTTTATGGAAAACGCATGCAGAATGTTGAGGTTGATCAGAGAAGCATAAATAATTTATAGAAATGTTTAAAAATACGAGGTGGGGGCGCCGCCATCTTTAACGCTCCTTGCGGTAGACCACGTGGGTATCCGAGCAAGATGGCGGCGTCACAGCTGATACCACCTCGTATTTTTGAATATTTTTTAAAGTTATTTAACATCTTGAGATCGCCTTCAACTTGTTTCATTAAATTCGTAGAAAATGAACAAATTTTTCAAGATATCTTTCAGAGTTTTTCCATTCTCCGTCGGCTAATAATTTATGTCGTAGTTTTCCCTGGATTTTAGTAGTTTTTTTCCACTCCCGAAGCCTCTTAAAATTACTAGAAGCTATTAAATTTTATTCTACTCACTGGAAAAACTGTCCTTTATGCAGAATTTCCACAAGCTCATCGCGAGGCAACTCTCCAATGTCTTCACTGCGAAGAGTTTTCATATCTAAAAATATAAATTAACATCAATTTATTAATTAATTATGAATTATTATTTTCAATTAAATAATATAATATTATTATTAATTATATCACGCTCACAATTTCTCCCAACATTATTTTACCTGATTTATTACCCATTCTTATCACTCGTCCACACAAAATATTTTCCATAAAAATGTTGGTGAATAAAAAAACGAAAATCATCATTTCCATGATAAAAACTTCAATTATTTATTATGGAAATTTATAAATGATAATTGTTATTCGATGGATGAATTGACCTCTGAATTAACAGTTCCGAAGGAACATTGAATACTGAATCGACGATTTGTCTCGATCAACATCAGATCGAAAGTGTTTTGGTCGTCACGCTCCACATTCTAGTGAAAGCGACACAAAAAAAACAATTAGTTTTTCAAATAAATCGTTTATTCAATGAAACATTATAGCAATCATAACAATTCACATTTCTGATGAAAACGTTGTCAGATGATATTATGACTTCAATTACAAACGAAATGATGTAAGAAAAATAATTATTTACTCATAATTCAAGAAGAAAAAGCCACAATGATTGACTGTCAGATGCGATATAGAGTAATTCTTAAATTAATGATAAATAAATGAAATAATCACAATGGACGCATGACTGTTCTATAAATTAGGTTTATTTTAATGCGATCACTTGTCGAATGCGTAACTATTCTTGGCGCATTTTGCCATCGACTGGATGAGCTTCACGAAGCCAGTGTCTTTCGGCTTCTCCAGGCCTCTCAGCACTCGATTTTTCATAACTGCGACGAACTCGCGATTGCTGAGCTGTCCATCCACTAGAAAACGAAATTATAAATTCTGAATTTTTTGCGGAAAAATTCGTGATCATAATTGAATTTTTTTAGGCAATTGTAGAAAAAAATATTCTTGACTGGCGATTATTTAATTCCGAAATTTAATGGGAGAAATCCAGTCGAAAAATTCTGGATATTTTTGGAATCACCAGAGTATTGAAGAAAAATTCTAGACTGAAGAATATTTAGATCTGGAATTTAATAGGAAAAATCCAGAGGAAACCGTGTGCTTTTTCCAGAAGTACGATTGGAGAGTATGAATGATCTTTCAGAGATTTAATTCTCCTCTCGATGAAACGTATTGTTACGAATATCTATTTTTCTGTTTCGAATGCATTCCATGGGATATGCATTCATTTCTTTTCATCCCAACTCCTCTGTAGTTAGTGTTACTTTTCGTTTTCTTCATTCTTTTCTCTCATTTTTATTTGAGTTTCAGTATTATCAACTCTTCACACAATTATGACTATAATCTTTCAATAATGTAAAATTTCTGTTTGCCCTTGGGGATCTCTGTATCTCAGGGTATAATAAAACGCATTCTACTCTATTCTTTCACCAAATGAACTCACTGTTCTCATCGAAAATAGTATAAACCACTTGAATGACATGATCGCTCAAATCAACATGAGCCACAGTCTTGGCCACATGTTTCAACGTCGCCTGATCGATGGACGCCCCAGCGATGTGGTAGAACGTGAGAGCAGTGTCAACATCGTTAATATTATTCAAAAAGTGGAAGAACTTCATGTAATCCTCCTTGTTGATCCCCCTGGCATTGTCCTTGAAGCTCTTCTTCACTCGCTTCAACATCTTCGCTTTCTTCTTCTCTGGGTAGCCAGCGTACGCCAGGAGCAATTCAGTGAAGTCAACTTCCGTGATGTTTCCGTCCGAGTCAGGATTGCGTCGTTCGAACTAAAAAAAATAAACAACAAAAAATAATTCAGTTATTTTTATTTTTCGAGTGAAAGAAGAGTTTTTAGTTTGATTCAATTCAATTGAGAGGAAAGTTTCTAGGGTTTCACCTCCAAATTCAGGATTTCCTTCTGCAGCTGCTCCTGGAAGTCCAAAAATTTCTCTATCGTCAGCTTCTGATTGTTGGCTGGACCGAAGAAATAGGTAGTTAGTGCTGAGTTCACCCCTTTGAAGGTATTCCCAGTGTTTCCGTGGTCTCGATGACGATTTCCAATGCTCGTTTGTTGACGAATTAGAGTCGCTACCTTTCCAAATTCATCGGAGTCGACGTCTCCATCACCGTTGAAGTCAAACATTCGAAATGCTATTTCGAAGTGGCGTCTGGAGGCTGAAGTCAAAGGTCGTCAGTAAAAACTTCTTTACGAATGATGGGAGTAATTGTAGAGGAGAGTGAAGTAGCAGGACTTTGATCGTTCATAACTCGAGATCGGCAGAGTCAAATTTTCAATTTTTTTTCCATTTTCAAGGTATTTGTTCAGACTTCAAAGTGAGCACTGACTCATCCAAATCGCATCATTTCGTCAGGAGATATTGACGATTCAGTGAAGTCGTTTCAACCTCAACATTTCGAGAGGAGGAAGGAAGACGATTTTCAATCGACGATAAGTAGAGATCGGCAGCGTGAAATTTCGACATTTTTTTTTCATTTTCAAGGTATTTTTTTAAGCTTCAAAATGAGCACTGACTCATCCAAATCGCATCATTCGATCTCGAGAAATCCGCGATCAAAGACTCTTCCATCATTCCCAGTAATTAATTGCAAACTCACTTGACAAAACCGTGAGTAGAAAAATATAATCGGAGAAGGTGATCAGCCCAGCGCTTCCAAGTCGATAGAAGATGCTGTCTTCATTCAACTCAAGTTCCAATTTATCCTGGATTCCCTGAGAATAAAAGAAATTGAATTCCCCATTCATAATTTCATAAGAATAATTCTAACTAGATTATATTATATTAATTTATTTTATTGTTTTCCTTCCAATTTTTCTTTGTAACCACAAAGATTAGATTAAATTAACTTTATTGGATTCTATTCCCATTGTAGTATACCAATTGTGGGGAACAGTTTTTCTCATTTTCAAATGAAGAGATATTTATGTTAAGTAATATCAGTATAATATAATAGTTCCTCTCAATGAAATCAGATCATGAAAATGAAATTTTTCGTTTTCATGAACTGATTTCATTGAGAGGAAATGAGAAAAATGCAGGGAGAGATGATCAGCAAGAAAATAAAAAACCATTTTTTATTTTTCTGAAAAATTTCAACTGTTTTTTTTTAAATGACGAAAAAATATCGACATGTTCCCTTTCTATGATCTAATTTCAATGAAAGAATGTGAAAAAAGAACAGAGATACGTGATCAGCGAGAAAATAAAAATTTCTATTTTTCAATGTCTCCGGAGTTTTAAAATTGATATATTTTTTCAAATGACGAAAGAATATCCATCAGTTCAATTTCTATCCTCACATTTTGATAGAATAGATGAAAAAAATAGCAAAGAATAAGAATCGGAGAAGAAAATTTTTATCGGATTAATATAATGTCATAATTAATTATTTGAATTAATTACCTTGGGGTCGAATCGTTTGTATTTATCCAGTCCTAGACCTACAAAATCATCATCATCATCATCATCATCATCTTGTTGCCCTCACCAAATGCCCCATAAACTAGTGAAAAATCTAATGTTCGTCTAAGAAGCAGCTACGCATGCTCTAAACAACAAATCCACTCATCGCAAGAATGAACAGAATGAGGCAAATGAAATTGAGTGGAGAAATAAAGACCCAATGCACTGATGATTGAATGAATCATGACTTAGATACTGACATATTACCGTCGGGTTGTTTGACACCAGGCGTCAATGATCTCAAGAAATCATCCGGCGTCATAAAAACCTCGTGGGCATCGTGAATCACAACTTGGAGAGTTGCAAAATACCGGAATACTTTGTCCGGTGTTGAGTAATGTCTTATACGATTTTCGTATTCAATTATCTTTTTCGTGGGTTCACAGGAAGCAATGTCCAGGTTTTAATAACGCATGCGAAAACAGACTCGTTAATTGTGGGTGTTAGTTACGGGTGGAGGAGGCATTAATTTACTGTGCGATCACCGATTTTACCATTTTGGAAAATTATTTGCAAGGGTAACAACGAGATTACGCAATTCCATTTTCTATTTTTCAGAAAAGTGAAAAGAGAATTTTTTGATGAAGGGCTAATTCTCTTGAGAATGCCCTGTTTCGGAGGAAATTTTTGAGAAAAATTTGTTCATTTTGTGGAAAGGGGATGCGGCAAATTGGGGGGGATTTGAAGGGAATAAATAGTTTTAAGAGGTGTTTGAAAGTGCGAGGTGGAGGCGCCGCCATTTTGTTGGCCCCTTGGCACAGCAAAATGGCGACGGCCACAGGTGTCAATCACCTCGTGTTTTTGAACATTTTTTGAAATTATTTAGAATCTTTAGATGACTTTCAATTTGTTGAATCGTGCTCCTAGGAAATGAACAAATTTTTTAAGCTATCTTTCAGATTTTTTTGTCCCTTTTTAGTTGAGAATTCATGGAGCAAAAACATATATTTTTTTAAATATTGAAATGTAACTATCGTGTATTAATTTCTGTGCATTTTTGTCATTCTTCGAGGCTCATTATCTCACTAATGACTCATCCTAGACAAAAAAGTCATAAGAAACTTTTTGTCGAGAATTTTCTCAGCTACAAAAAAGATTCACCAACATTTTTTCCTAAAACCACTCATTACCAAGATAATTCGACACAAACCAAAACTGTTCTAATTTACTCATCACGAATTAACTTTTCCCCTCATTCTCTAAGCCCCATCATCTCAATAACAATTAACTCCCGCAAAGAAAGTAAAAAGACGTTTGTTCTAACATTTTCACGCCCATAAAAATGCCTCAAGCCTCATTTTAAATTCACAGTGAACAAAAAAACCAAAATATTAAAATTTTGTTCTGGTGATCGAACAGAAAGCTCAAATGAAACAGATGAGGGTACAAATCTTCAATTGCCACGTACATTCTTCATCAACAATATAAATTACCATCAATTGAAGACTGAAATATCGATATCCAAGCATAGCGTATCCACTCATATCAACATTAGTCTTTCGTAAAAAAAAAAAATGGACTCGAAACTCTCAACTGATTGATAAAACATTACCATCTGGTTGTTTCATGCCAGGGGTAATAGCTCTCAAAAAATCATCGGGTGTCATGTAGACCTCAGTACCCTCCACACTCGATATTTTGACTGTCGCGAAATAACGAAAGATTTTGTCAGGCGTTGAATACGCTCTCATCCTATTTTCGTACTCTATTATCTGCAAGAATGCTTGAATATTTGATCATCAGTGATCTTCTACTGAGTTCAACGGTATTTCTTTATTAAAATAAGCAATTATCAGATATTTATAATGACTACTTCAGAATGAAAAGCATTAAGCCACCTTGCGATCGCGAAATCCAACTTTTTGTTTCTTCTTCTTCTTCTTTGGCTCGTCAGAGCTCTCGGCGAGTGTTCCCTCCTCGGAATCCTCTTCTGTTAGCATTTCGGCTGCATCAACTTTCGGGAAAAGGTGTGACTTCAATCTGAATTGGCCATTAATGAAAGAATAAATGAGAAATTGATGGAGAATGAGGAATCAGATGAATTAATCTCAACTTCAGGTCAGTTTTTTGAGGATATCTCGGAGCTGGTGAGAGATAGCGGGATTTTTGTTGAGATCTTTTTTATAGAGAATTTCAAGAGCTACAAAAAATGTTCTGAGCAAAATTTCTCTATCTCTCGTAGATCCTGAGATATTTCGCGAAAACTAACTCGAAGCAACTGATTATCAGAAAGTTACGAAATACTTCACATCAGTTTTGTCAAAATATCTCCAAAAGGGTGAGGTATAGCGAAAATTTTGTAAGAATCTTTTTTGTGCCTCTTGAAATTCTCTACAAAAAGTCTTCCGTAAAAATTTTTCCATCTCCCATAGAACCTGAGATATCCCGCAAAAACTGGCTTGAACATAAAAAAGAAGTGTTTTTCCTTTTTTATTGATTCAGTTTCTCGAATTAATTTTGACGAACAAGTTTTACGAACCCTCTCCAGTTCGACCAGGGTGCTATCAGCCCAACAATCAAAAACGCCGTCCAGAGAAAGAATCTCTTCGTGACTTTGCGATTGTTGCCATGTCCAAAATCGCGATATTCTCGTGCTTGAACTATCTCCCTGATTCTACATTTATGAGATGGTTCTTGTGACGGGACTGTCCTGAGTTCGTGGAGAAGCCCTCGAGAGCGGATCAAGTGTCTACTGCGTGCCAGGATCATATTTCAGTCCAAAAATGCCTCTTGAAATAAAAAATCTGCAAAGAATTCCATTTTTTCCTCACATTTCCTCAATTTTTCGAGACGATCATCAATAAATAGAGGGATTACTGGATGAATGGCGTGTGTGGATGTGATGAATGCCGAAAGGAACTATTTTTGCTCAACTCCAGGGAATTCCAAAGTCTCGAAATAATTTTCTTCGTCTAATAATAATTTCGGAAGTTTTAGAAATTTGGGAATTTCTGACCTTATCCAGTCATTCTCCAGTCTTCAGGATCATCAGGAATATCTTCGGGTCATCCTCGAGATATAAATCACGAATAACGGATAGAGTTACCCGAGAAATGCGTCACTTTGCAGCATTTAGCCAATTTCGCGAGATTTTTGGGGAATTATGGACTAGCTGAGGGCGAACGTTTTCGGAATAGTCATGACCGCCTGGTGGCACCAGTGGCGAAGGTGGGCTTTGCACCACTAGCTCCGTCTGATGGCCCCTCACACCTCAGTTCTCTGGAATTAGTCTAGAATCTGGAGACTCTCGTCTACCTTCACCTCTTCATTGGTCGTAAAATGCATGTACGTGGTGCTGGTGTCACTCTTCAAGACTGTAGTGATGTGGAACTTGAAAAATAAAACATGATGGGATTGAAAATAACGCCGGAACATTTGTTTTTAATAGTCATCGTCAGCCTCTGTGAAATTCTGCCGTGCACACCAAAAATTTCGGACAAAAGATTGTGCTACGATGCTGAATGCACCGGTAACTGAAGCCATAGTCTGTTAATTGGAGATCAGCATAATTTATTTTATTTCTCCGACTGCTTTATTGCATTAGACTCGTAGAATTTCATTAAAAATCCGCTCGGAATTGCAGGACAATTTCGGCTTTTATCAGGCCTGGAGGAAATTGTTTGGGAATTTTTTGTGGGCGTTGAGAGCTGGAGGATATGAAGTCGTTTGATGCTCCGAAGAAAGGGAAATGATAAGCCGAATTTTAGTTTTTCTCTGGGGCAGGAGACACTGGGTTAAATTCAGTCTTAAAATTTCATGTTCACGATTTTTTTTGCAATTTATAATTAATTTTTTAGAGGTCTCGTTGTCCTAGATGTCTTCCTGATGTTTTTTATTCGTAAAATCACATCGTCTCGTTGATTTTATTATTTTTTTTTAGGTTTTATTTAAGTTTAATCGAGAATGATATGATCTTTATCGTTTTTTGAATTTTGAAATTAAATTGAGAGGAAAATGTTGATTAATTCCTGATTTATTTATGAATTAATAATTTATTTTGAGTGTATAAAAATATTAGAGTTATTATATTTAACAAATTAAGGAGTTTTGGTTATGAAGTAATTTTTAAAATTGATTGGAAGCATTAAACATCAAATAAAATTCATTTTCAAAGTCCTACTTTTAAAAATTTTCTTTTGAAATTCTATGTGGAATTTTTATATTGATTCAGCTTCTTAAAACGTCTTCGCAGAGTTTTATATTCATCAATTTACTGAAATCTGATCGAAAACTACATCACCTTTATCTTTTTTTTAACTTGGAAATTAATTTAAGAGGAAAAATGTTCATCAATTCTTAATTTTCTAATTAATTCCCAATTCATTTTGAGAATTGAAAAACATTGAAGTTGTTATACTCAACAAATTAAAGAATTTCAATATCAATTAAATTTTGAAATTGATTGGATGTATTCTACATCAAATAAAATCCATTTTCAAATTTTTATATTAAAAAATATCCTCGCGAAATTCGATTTAGAATTTTTTCTACTACTCTTTCTCATCTCAACATCTCCCAGAGTTTTATATTCATCAATTCATTGGAAATTCATCAAAAATTACATCACCTTAATCTTTTTTTTAACTTGGAAATTAATTTAAGAGGAAAATGTTCATCAATATTAAATTTTCCAATGAATCTCCCACTCATTTTCAGAATTTTTAACCATAAAATAAAATGAGTTTTCAAATTTTCCCATTAAAAAATGAAAATCCCCTTGAAAGTGGCTGTCGAATTCAGTAGCGAAGCTCGTTTTTCAGCAATATTTCCGAATCTAAGGGAGATACCAAAATTTTCGTAATTACATTTGTTGTAGCTCTCACCCGGCTCCACAAAAAAGGTCATAACAAAAATTTTGCTATCTCCCTTAGATTCCGAGATATTGATTGAAAACTGGCCAATAGTCAAAATTGACTTACCACTTCGCTACTAAAAATAAACGTCCTCGGTTGTTAATTCCCCTCTAGTTCCCATATCCGAGGCAAAGACAGTGTCGATGTACCACTCCCGAGACAAGGACGTCCTCTCGTTCCCCCTGAACGTGGACGTATTAGTCTACAGCAAAGAGGCAGGCGACAGACAGGACCTCTGGGGTGTGGAGATCCAGGGAAAGCGCGGCTACGCCCCCAAGTCCTTCCTCCGCGAGAAGAAGATCCTCCACAAGTCCCACGACCTCCACGAAGTGCCAACCGAGAGAATTCCCCCAGAGAACATCTCCAAGGACCACAAGACCGAGGACAAAGTTCCCCCTGGCATCATCGACAGTTCGATAGACTCTGGGAGTCCCTCACCGATAACTCCACAGGTGTCACCTTCATTCGAAGTTGTCGATGGAACGACAATACATTTTTCAACTGACGATGCCAGAGAGGAGGAGAGCTACGCAACGAAAATTCGTCAAAGCCCTGGCTCCACTGATGAACAGCCAGTCCTCAGTGTTCACCCGAACATTGCCTCCAGTGAAGTTCACATTAACGAGAAATTGTCCTCTGAAACTGGGGATTTGCCCCTGAAAAGCAAAAACGAAGAGAAAAATCGAGAGGAGAAGGAGGAAAAGTCATCTGGAGATGAGGAAATTGAGAAAAAAGAGAGAACTGTAGATAAACCAGAAGAAAATGATGGAAAAACACCTGAGGAAGCTCTGGATGATGAAGTTGATGATGAGTCTCTGGAAGAGGGGATTGAAGACAATGAGGACGAGAAGAGTGGAGCAGAAAGAGATGATTCTGCTCCAGAGAAGGGAGATTCCAGTGAAGAAAATGCGGAGGAACAGCCTCAGGACTATTTATTCAGTGCTTTTCAGACTGTGACTTCGATGTTCGATAGTTTGTCAACGACAGAGGCACCAGAAGCTCCTGAAGCCGATGGGGAAGGCTCACCTGAGGCTGTGACAACCCCTGAAATAATTCCAGGAACGATTGCTGTGACTAAAAAAACTGTTCCAGAAGCTGATGCTGGAGAAACTCCTGAGGAAGTTGAAGATAAAAATTCTTCTGGGGGTGTTTCAGCCCCAGAGACGATTGCTGTGACTGATAAAGCTGTTGTTGAAGAAAATCCTGAAGTTGAAGAGAAAAATTCTTCTGAGACTCAGTCAGCCCCTGGGATAGTTCCAGAGGCGATTGCTGTGAATGAAAAAGCTGTTGAAGGGAAAAATTCTTCTGAGACTTTATCAACCCCAGAGGGAATCCCACAGGCGAGTCCTGTGAATGAAAAAGCTGTTGAAGAGAAAAATTCTTCTGAGACTCCATCAACCCCAGAAATAATTCCAGAGGGGATTGCTGTGACTGAGAAAGCGGTTGTTGAGGAAACCCCTGAGGCAGTTGAAGATAAAAATTCTTCTGGGCCTGCATCACCCCCGGAAACGATCCCAGGGGGGATTCCTGAGGCTCTCGTAACAGAGGCACCACCAGAAAAAATAATTCCTGACGAAAAACCCGAAGAAAATTCGTCCACAACAGAACTCCCAGAAGACGTTGAAGCTATCAACAGCACTTCTTCCTCGAATCCCTCGGAAATCGATGATAAATCATCTGTAGACATGGGCACAACCCCTGAAACTGTCGAGGAACTCCTTGGAGACGATAATAACGTTATTCAGGGTGAAGGGCAGCCTGGCATCTATCGAAAGGATGAGTTATCAGGTCCTAGCCAGAGTATTGATGATAATAATGTCTTGGACTTCAATGGATTTCAGAATAGAAACTTGTTGAATGTTGAGAGTGATCGAGCACGACGAGAAAGTGAGTATTTATTCCCATTAAATAAAAAATCATCATTTGTTATTAACAATTTCATTAATCATTAATAAATTTAATGAAATTTTATTAACGATTAACAAAATTAATGATTAATCCTTTAGTTAATTTAAATAATTAATTTATTAATTATTATTATTTATTTGATAATAATAAATTTTAAAAAAAATTAATTAATTCATAAAATAATAAATAATAATTAATTTATTTATTATTATTATTAATTAATGAAGGTTATTTATTTTAATAAAATTTATTAATCGTTAATAAAATAATTTATAATAACCATTTTATTATTTTTATAAAAATAATAAAATGAATCGTAATTAATTCAGTTTGATGACGAATTAATTACGATTATTCATCACTTTTATCATCTTTAAAATCACTTAAATGCTCGTTTTGCCTTTCAGATTCCGTAAAAATGCCACTGGAGGTTCTCCAGGCAACCCAAGAGTCTCTCCCCCCAGTTCTTCCAGCAGAGCAGCCCCTGGTAGCACCTCCAGAGGCATCAGCAGTCGCCCCAGACCCCACACCCGAGGAAATTCTGCAGAATCCGGAGTCGACGACTGAAGTTCCTGATCCATTCACTCCCGAAGCCCCTCAGGATCACCTGGAGCAGCCCCAGGACACTCTTCCTCCAGCCCCAGCCCTCGAGGACACTCCAACAACTGTTGAAGAGAAATTATCGTCCTCGGGGGTGTGTGAAGCCCTTGGAGATTGTCCTAATCCCCAGGAAAAAGATTCACCAGAGACTCAGGAAGACGAGCAGTTCTTCGGTACTGCCATGGGCAGTGCTATTAAATTCGGGAGAAACTACTGGGAGGCGCTGTCTTATGTTGCTCTGACTGCCTTCACAACTCTGCTGTTCTCCCTGGGGTACTATTACATCGAAAACAGAAGGAGAGATGGAGAATTCATCGCCAAGATCAATAGATTGGAGAAGGAATTGTTGGTTGCTACGAAGGAATGCAGTGCCATGGATGAAACACTAAAGTCGACCAAAAATAAGGTATTTTTCTCATTCTTAATGATTATTAGTCATTAATAATTGATCATAATCATTAAAAATGAGAAAAAAAATCATTAAAAATCTTTAAAATAATCAATAATGATTAATCATATTAATAATCATCAAAATGAGAATTATTAGTCATTAATAATTGATAACAATCATTAATTAATGGATATTTTTCATATTAATTGTTGATATTCATTGCTATTTTCATTTATTATCCATTTATAGTCATATTTAATCAATTATTAGCTATCAGTAGTGATTAATTGATGATTATATTCATGATTTAGTTACTAATAAATTCATTAACCAAAATTTCACTAAATAAAATGTCAATTTCAAATTAATTCACATTTCTTAATGATGACTATAAATTATTAATGAGTAATTGATGATTATTTTCACTTAATCATCAATTTCTTATCATTTTGTTGTTATTAATAGGTTCATTAATTAAAATTTCGCTAAACAAAATGTCAATTCCAATTAAACTCACACTTTAATCAATTTTAATTCAATTTTTCAGTTGACTTCGATCGAAGATGAGTCTTTCGGATCTAATGAAATGGTTCTCTCCTTGAAAAATGAATTGGATAATGCACATGTGAGTTGAAAAAATATTTTTGTAAATCTTTGTGGCTCTTTGAGAAGTGTTTAATGAGCTGTAAAATGTTTTAATTACTTTAGAAAGCAAAATCAGAGCTGGAAGATCAGGTATCAGCCCTCGAGAAGGATCTCGAGGGTGCAACTGAGGCAGGATTAGAGCTGGAAAGAATGTTACGTGAGATTCTAGCCACCAATAGTGCGGAAAATCCTCTTGCCAAGTCTGTGGAAGACCTACAGGCACGTTTGAATGCTCAACAGGCTGTCAACGAGTCGTTGACCAATGCTCTACATTTAAAGACTCAAGAGGTGAGTTAATTAATAGTTCTCGTGGCAGTTTGAGGGGAAAAAATTTTTGAAACATTCCTTCAAGTTTTTTAAACATTCATTATCCATTTTTTCCTCCAAGACACTTGGAAAAATTATTGAAACATTTTTTTTCAATTTCTCCAATTTTTTTTTATCACTAATTCATCAATTTTTTCTCAAAGACATTTAGAAAATTTTTAAAACCTTTTTTTAATTCCTTCATTTTTTTTATTTTTTCGTAATGATATTTGGAAAATTTTTATCTTTTATTTCTGTTTGCCAATTTCGCAGCATGATTTCGATAAACTAGAGGTTCGTGTTTACTATTTAATCCCTCATACTTCCAGAATTACAATGAACTTTTATTTCAGAGCGAGACATTAACCAGAGATTTAACATTGGCGACTCAAAAGTGTGAACAACTCGAAGTAGAAATTGTTAGAATTACTGGAGAATTGAAAGAAGAGAGGGAATTGAGGAGTAATATTGAAGCGATGTCGTCTAAGAAAATTGAGGAGTTGGAGAAGCAACTCAAGGATGTAAGTCTACACTTGTTCAATGTTTTTAAAATTTATAATTCTTATTTTTTAATTATTTCCTCTTCGCAAAGATTATGTAATCCCCAACAAAAAATTAATTCTTTAAATTTCATTGATTTAAATCTTTTATTCACATGCAATGAATAATTTTTATAGTTTATTTATCAATATTAATTGTTATTATCATTAATTATTCATTTATAGTCGAATATTGCCAATAATTAATTATTAATAACGATTAATTCATGATTATATTCAACATGAATCGTCAATTTCAATTGAATTCACGTTTTAATCGATTTCAATTCAATTTATTCCCAAGAAGAAGTGAATTTTCTAAAATTCATAAATTTAACTCTTTCATTTGCCCAAAAAATAATAATTTTTCGCTTCACCCAGATGTCTGCTGAGAGAATAAACCTCCGAAAGCAGTTAAAGGGCAAGGAGATGGAGTTGAAAGACCTCCTGGAGGTGGTGAAACAGTCAAACACCCACAGCATCGATTTCGATAAATTAGCTGACGTGTCCCACGTGAAAGCAGAGGCCATTCAGCTCTCAGAGGAGAGAGACGAATTGAAAATAAAGTTGAGTGAGGTTGAGGGTGCCCATCACCTCCTAGAGGAACACATGAAGGTCATAAACGAGGAGGTGAAAGCCCTCAGCGAACAGTGCAAGCTCGCTGAGAAGGAGAAGAGAGAAGCTGAAACTCGTCTCGAGGTGCTCTCCAACTTCTTCAAGGAGAAGGAAGCAGAGAGACAGAAGGAGGAGGCTGCCTGGCTACAGCAGCAGGGCGAAGTGTCAACCACTGTCGAGAGATTACAGACTATGCATAATGAAATATTGAGTTATAAGCAGCAGAATGAGTCGCTTAAGAAGGAGATTCTCGATCAGGAGAGGGAGTACAAGGCTCAGATCACTAGTCTAGAGGCGAAGGCTCATGAACAATGGGTAAATGACATTTATTTATTTAGAACTTATTTTTAGTCTTTTATGATTATTCTTCATTTACTCATGATTCATTTTTATTATTTAAAAATTATTATTATTTTATTTTTGTTTATTATTTTTAGTATTTCATTATTTGATGTTATTTTATTATTTTTATTATGGTTTTCGTTTTAAAAATTTTTGTTTTGTTTTTTAGGTGCTGGCACGTCAGAATGAACGTCGTCTCGAGGAATCTAAATCTGAGGCGGCACAATTGAGGAACCGATTGACTATTATTGAGAAAAACCTCACAGAGACAGAGTCCGACGTGAAATTACATCGTAAGTATTTTAGAATTATTTAAAGGATTTTTCTATTGTTATTGGAGAGGTTTTTGAGAAATATCTTTAGAAATTTGACATCTAGTTGAGATTTTGAGATATTTCCAAAAAACTGTCCTCATAATTGCATATATTTACCAATAATTTTTTCATTTCCAATATTCTAAAAATTAGCACAAATTCGCATTTTATCATTTTTACTGCATTTTTAATTTTTTACTGCAGTTGTTAAAAAAAATTAATTAATTCCCCTCCGATCCTCCAAAACCTATAGAAAACAAATTTTAGAAATATTTAAAAATCAATTTTTAATTAATTATTTGGTTGAATTTAGGATTGACTAGGCTTTCGAAACATTTCTTGGAATCTGAACTAATTAATAAAATTTTCCATCTTTCCTAATTCTCGAGACATTTCCAAAAACCTAAATTTCGTAACTTAACAAAATCCCAATTATTATAATTATAATCTCTTCAATTTCAAAATTACTCCATTATTACAGTGACAACTTCATAAAATTTACATTTAACAAAAAATTGCCTCCACTTCCCCCCAAAAAAATTCACAGCTCCACCTTCGAAAAACCAATTCTAAAAACAAAAAAAAACAATTTTCAATTTTTTTTTGCTTGAATTTAGAATTAAAAGGTTTTCGATAAATGTTTAACAATCCGAAGGAAATGATAACATTTTAATAAAAATTAACCATTAAATTAAATGAACCGTAAAATCAATCAAATTAAAATTTTAGTTATAATTTACTGAGTCCCCTTGAAACGAAAAATAATTGACTCCCAAATCCTCTGAAAAACCAATTTTAAAAACAGGAATGGAGTCTAACGGGGATCCAGCCACATCCCCCTTATTCCTAGGAGCCGAGGCATCGAGTTCCCCAATAATGTTCTCAGGCACCTCAGGTCCACCCCCTCCACCCCCCTCCTTCCTCTACGGGCCCCCCTTGTCGTACCTGCCACCCCCACTGCCCCCACCGCCAGGAATGCCCCCCTACGACATCAGTCAACGTCCACCCCCCCTCGGTGGTCGTCTAGCCTCGCCACCCCCCATGCCCCCCCTTCAACCCCCATCGAATAGATATGACGGTCCAGGCTCCCTCTCTCCCCCTCCCCACTCACCCACCCTCCTGCCCCCCTACAACCCGAGGAATTACCCAGGACCATTTGGAAATGAAAGAATTCCCCCGCCATGGGCTGATGAACAACTGCCACCAGCTCGTAACACTGGTTTCCACCCTTTCCATCGAGATCACCGAACGCGTGACAAAGGTTTGTGGATGATGTCATGATGCATGAGATCTTCAGCTTCCTGCAAGTCTAGAGGAGTAGGGGACAGGAACATACGACAATTTTTTACATTTTTGCATGTATGTGTTTTTGTGAAGGAGGTCTTGATTAATATCTCTTAATCTGAGGGAGATAGCGAATTTTTTGTGAGGACATTTTTTGCGGGGAATTTTTTAAGCTACAAAAAAGCTTCTAATGCATTTTTTGCTGTTTTCGTTGGATTTAGAGATATTTCTAAAAAACTTATGGAGAGTTTTGGTAATTTTATGGTTGTTGATATGAATACTGAATTTGTTTTTCACGAAGAGATCTCAGGATAAAAAAAAATGTTCAAAATGCGAGGTGGAGGCGCCGCCATTTTCCTCTGCCTCAAGGGATTTTCAAGATGGCGGCACCCATACCTGTTTACCTGTATCTAAAAGAGAATAAAAAAATCTGAAAAATGGGCTTAAAAAATTAGTTCATTTTATAAAAATCCGATGACGCGAGTTGAGAGTGATTTAAAGAGGACAAATAATTTAAACAAATGTTTGAAACTGCGAGGTGGACTCGCCGCCATCTTAGAAGCCTCTTGGAGCAACACAAAATGGCGACTCCCACACCATTTCACCACCTCGTATTTTTAAACATTCTTAAAATTTATTTACCCCCTTCAAATCACTTTCCGCTCGTTCCACCCAGTTCCAAAAAAATGAACAAATTTTTCAAGCCATTCTTCAAATTTTTCCATCCCTTTCCAGTATTATTTTTTACCTTCTGAGGCTCTCAATATGAGACGCAAACACTTTTGAAAGGCATTTTTCATAGAGAATTTTTTAATCTACAGAAAAGGCCTCACCACAAATTTTGTTATCCAGACATTGAAAAAAAATTGATTTATCCACCTCCAGGTGACAATTGTCATCTTCTGCATTCACTTCTGTATTTTTTTCTCTCTTATGATTGTTATTGCATGCAAGGACGCAAACGTTTCTCCAAAGTACGACAGTTTTGGAGTACCATGGAGGGAAACATAAATCATACAGCATCAAATCCGTCTATCCATACTATAAATAACAATGACGATTGACGGATTTGGCGACAGGTCACTAACAATTACTATGGGCTTGATGCCAGGGCTAGAATGAATTTTCCAACTAAATTGCTAGTCCTAATTTGGGTAGAACAGCTTTGCACTAACTCTCCAAATAATAATTATCTCCGAATGATAACGTGATAATTTTGAATTTCAGGTTCTTTACACTCGTCCAGAGAATCGCTGGATAAATCACACCATAGTGGGAAAGTCTAGGTCTTTTCTTTATTTTATAAAGAATGTTTTTCTAAATTCAATGTCAACTGTGTAACAATTCCATGTACAGTAATAGGAGTAGAAAACAAACGAAAAAAGATTGAGCAATTCTCCCTGTTTGTCTGATGATTGTTATTTATACTGTGCATTATTGTATTTTTTAAATGTAATTACATCTGGTTTCAGGGAATCTTGAATGATTTGTGTCATTTCAATCACGTGAATGAAGATTTTTGTAAAGTAATCATGATTGATTGAACGAATTCATGATGATAAAACCATTTGTTACGCATACTGTACGTAAACACTGTTGCAAATAAATAAATTGTAATTTATTATCAAATAATCTGGGATTTTTGTGTAATTGATGAGAATTGACATGTTCCTTCAAAAATTATATTTATAAACGATTAGGTGGATAATATATTTTACAAGAACCTTTGCAAAGACTTTGAATGGAGGAATGCTGCAAATGCTTTATACATTATTTATATCTAAAATTTGACAAAACCTGTGGAACCTCCCTCTTCACAGAATTCCCATGATATAGTGGATCAGTTCTAAGTGGGCAGTATTCCTTATGCCACAAAAATAACGAAAAATATGAAGAAAAATATTAAAACACCGAATATCTTTATCATCAGCCATCGGTTGTTGGTTACTGATTGAAAATATTTCAAGATCTCTGTGTGGGCAGCTTCTACGTTCATTTCGGCATCTTCAATATTACTGTCTATCCTAAAAAATCAAATGTCAGAGGATTGAGGAATGCAAAAAACATTGATTGAATTTTTTCAATTGTTTTCTCCAGAAAAAAATGATATTTCTGTTTTAAAAAATGATAAAACTCTGAACATTTTTTATTTATCCTAGAAAATGAAATTTCGAACGTTTAAAGACGATGAAAATAATGATAACAGGAGAAACAAAAGCATGAAAAATTTTAAAATTTATAATTTTAAACAAGAAAATGATATTTTGATTTAAAAAACGATAACAATCTAAAAAAAATTAATTACGCCTGAAAAAATGAAAATTCAAACGTTTAATCGTCACGAAAAATAGAGATGAAAACAAATAAAATGAATGCAAATGCAGATTTAAAAAAAGGTGATAAAATTTGCCAACAAATCACGAAAATTAATTACCTCTCGACCATTTCCTCTTGTTCCTTCACCATGTGGGCGAGTTGTTGGAATATGCCCCCGAGTTCAACAATTGTTGACTCAATATTTTGCATGGTATCTGCTCTGGCTGCAGCATATGCACTCTAAAATAAAAATCCAAACGAAATTTAACTCAATTCTTTCAATTTTCCTGTTTTCGATTAATTTTTTTTTTCATCGGGACTCACACTATCGTCACGCATAGTCTTCTGCATCATCATTTGCCTCGGGTCAGGATCAAAATCTATGCTGACAGTTGTGCTGGAGTCCTGTTCCTGGAGGAGAAGAGACCCTTGCTGTCCACTCATTACACTAGGCGGTAGTTTTGTGGATACATGACCCTGGGTGAATTGCTCTCGTCTGTTCTGCTCTTCTCTCATGTTCTGAGGGATTAAAACCAATTGCTTAAATCATTAAAAATAAATGATTAATCTAATAATAAAGTGAAGCTGTAAAATGAAGTGAATGAAAGAGAAAAAGAAAAAATGAATAAATAATCATTTTAAAAAAGGAAAAGAAGGAATTAAAAAACAATTGTTTGAATAATTAAAACAACAATTAAATTGATAATGAATTAAACAGGTACAATTGAGCGAATGAAAGATAAAATGAAGAAAAAAATGAAGTAAATAAGAATTTCAGAGAAGAAAAAGAAGAAAAAAAAATGGAAAAGGCAAGTTAAAAGGTCACAAGGGTCAGAAGAGGAATAACTCACCTCAGACCTCACTTCAAGAACACTTTTAAACTGATTCGACATATTAGCGAGCTTCGATTGCAGTGCGACGACTACTGACGACGAATGTGAGGAAATATGATGCCCTTGGGATGATGATTCCCTCTGTTTCCTTCCAAGTTCCTGCAATTGAGCAATCTGCTTGTTCAGACTGTTCAAATCCATTTTAATAATGTTCGTCAATTCTTCAATTTCAATTTGTCTGTCATCGAATATGGATTTCTTTTTAGCCACTGAAATTCAGGAAGTGATGGTTAAAAATTAATTACAAAATTCATAAATCATAGGTGATGAATTAAATAGTGAACCTTAAATAAGTAAAGATTGGCTGAGTGAAATTGGAGAATTTTTTCTTCATTTCAAAGGGATTTTTCCAGACTTCAAAATGAGCCCTGAATCATTGGAATTCCATTATTTAATCCAGAGATATTTATCAAAAATTGAACTCTGAATTGAGGTGAAAATAATCAAGAAAAGGAAAAATGAACCGTTTTTAATCTTGCATATCTCGAGATCCCCAGAGTGAAATTCCCCAACTTTTTTTTTCATTTTAAACATATTTTTTCATACTTCAAAATGAGCCCTGAGTCATCCAAATTCCACCATTTGATCCCGAGATATTCATAAAAAACTAAACCTAAAATTAAGACACAAAAACGAAGAGGATAAAATAACCAATTTTTAATCGGGAATATCTCAAGATCCCCAGAGTGAAATTTTCCGATTTTTCCTTCATTCCAAAGATATTGTTTTACACTTTAAAATGAGCCCTGACTCATCCAAATCCCACCACCAGATCCGTAAATGTTGACAACTAAAGTCCATTTCTCTCAAGTAAAAAATAAAAATTGAATAATTTTGCTTACAAATCGTCAGCTTCTCGAGCTTGGCATAAGTGCTGGCAATATTCTTCCCAATGTTCTTCGCAATCATCATAAAATTGGAGTAACTCTGAAGGCTCCTAGCCTGCCGGGGATTGCGGACAGTAGCCGCCCTGGCTGCTGTCCTCCCCTGCATGCTCCTGATGGCATTGGCAAACTCATTAGTCCGATCCCTGGATGTCATGACCACTGGATAAATATCGCTCGTATCCGTATCACTCAGCCCTGTCTTCTCATTATCGTAATAATACTGTTGCCCTTGATTACTCGACGTCAATTGGTTTGAGGTTATGACACTAAAATCACTGTCTACCTCTGTACCACGTCTTCTACGTGCGGGCATCGCATGCTTTCAATTTCAAACACTATAATTACACTTTCAATTATCATTAATTCAATTAACCACGAATAATCATACGTTTAATGTCAGAGACAGAACATATTGTTCTGTCAACGTAATGCAACTTGGATCTTCCCTCCCACCAGTCGGTCATTTTTCACTAGGGGAGGACAACACGACAAGATTATCAGTCTGTGCAATAGTCTCGCCAGAAATTACTGACATCAACTGAGAACCGAAGATAATGTTGAACCAACAATGATAATCATTGAATGATTCTTCTCTTTTTTAAAAAACTTGTGGAAATGATTATTGAATAGAAGTATTCGACACGTAATCTGCATTATAACGACATAATGCAAATTGAATTTGCGTTTTGTTAAATAACAAATTACGTATCTGATTTTTTTTATTGAATTTTGCTACTCAATAATTTATTTTAAAAAATAATGAAGACGGAACTCTCGAGGATCGCTCAACGATTTCTATTAACGTTTGAAAATTGTAATAATAATGATAAAATTTCAAGTATCCAATAATTTATTTTTTTATGAAACAAAAAAAAATAAAAACTTATGGAAATGGATTATTGAATAAAAAATATTAGACACGTATTTTTTTATTCAGAGACATTGTGAAAAATTCAGAAGTTATCGACAATTAAAGAAATCTACATTATAACGTCATAATGCAGATTTGATTTGTTAAACATTAAATTACATGCCTATTGTTTTCTATTGAATTTCGCTATTCAATTTTTTTTTTAAAAGATAATAATAATAAAGTCGGAACCCTCGAGAATCCCAATAATTTATTTTTTATTCAAAAAAATTAATACTAGTGTATTTTACAGCGAAGAATTGTTAAAAAAAAATTTCACAAATTGGAGCTGTTGATTTTATAGTTTAAATGACACCAGTTGTCTTTCGATATTGCCCAAAATGTTCTAAATATTGCTGAATGGTGTCCATTGGTTGATAAATCTCATTCATGCGATTCTGAAAGGATCGAAATTGATTGATTAATTAAGATGTCTTCAAGAGGCCTCGGGCGAATGGCTTAAAAAATTTGTTCATTCTTATAGAAACCGAATAAACCGAGTTTAGGATGATCTGAGAAGAATAAATAATTTTAAGAGACGTTCGAAAATGCGAGGTGGGAGCGCCGCCATCTCGAGGGAGTATCCAAGATGGCGGCCCCCACCACTGTCGGCCACCTCGAATTTTCGAACATTTCTTAGAGCTATTTATCCTCTTCGATCACCTTCAACTCGTTTCATCCAGTTCCTAAAGAATGAACAAATTCCTCAAGCTACCCTTCAGATTTTTTCGTCCCCTTTTGACGGAGAATTCATGGCGCAAAGTTTTTCTGTGAATACCTGTAAATACTGAGGAGGCTGATTTGAAACAGTTGCGCCGAGAAAACCTTGCAGGAATTCTCGCATAAGTTCCCAAGCGGCGCTGGGTAACACGCAGGGTCTGTATTCCACCTAGAATAATTTATTTTCTATGAAGAAAACAACTCTTCCTCTTCATTAAAAAAATTCTGAATTTAAGGGAGATATTTTTAAGAGCAAAATGTATAATTTTCACAAGTCCTCGACAGTTTGCGAATTCATCCCGGGCACAAAGCCCCTCCCATAAATCCCGAGGATGACAGAACGCCCAAGAATAGTTAATGAAGTATTCATACCTCGACAAGCACTCCTTTGAAATTCTGGCTCATGGTGACACTTCCAAGTTTAACACAGAAATCACCAATTTCAAATCTCGGACCTTTGGATTCAATTTTCGTCTGTTTCTTGCTTGTGTAGATTGCACCGATTTTAAGCATAAGAAGATCAAAGAGTCCGTCAGCAATAAGTGGAACAACTTTAGTGCCGGATTCTAAAATTGCGAATACTGACGCTGGCTGTTCGGAATTATGTAATACGTGCACTGTCCTTTGAACAGCTAGAGCAAAATAATTAGTTTGTCTTAATTAATTAATTATTTATTAATGATTTTTCATCAATTATTGTGATAAACTATAAACTATTAAGTAAAATATACTTATTATGATTTTTAAGCGGTCTTGGGAGAGAAAAAACTCCATTGAAATTCAGGGAAAATTTTGTGCCGAGAATTCTCAGCCAAAAGGGGACGGAAAAATCTGAAAAATTGCTTGAAAAATTTGTTCATTTTCTGGGAACTGGGTGAAGTGAGTTGAAGGTGATTTGAAGAAGATAAATAATTTTAAGAAATGTTCAAAAATGCGAGTTGGTGGACAGATGTGGGTGCCGCCATCTTGGATACCTGTCGCCATCTTCCTCTGTCGCAAGGGGGAGTTTTAAAGATGGCGGCGCCTCCACCTCGCATTTTCAAACATCTCTTAAAAATATTTATCCTCTTCAATTTGCCTCCAACTCGCTTCATCCGGTTTCTACAAAATGAACAAATTTTTTGAGCTATCTTTCCGATTTTTCCATCCCTTTTCGGCTGAGAATTCATGGCGCAAAGTTTTTCCCGCACTGCAGTAGCTGTTTTCACTCCCGAGGCCTATGGAAATGATTATTTTCATATTCATGTTCTCTAGTTTTTTAATCATTTTTTTATCGGTTAAAAAAATTATGTCGAGAATGAAAAAAAAGTGCTGACACACATGTTCGTCAGATCCATATGAATTTTATTCAAAGGATTGAAATGCTAAAATCTATTATGTAGGAGTGAAGCGCCAGCAAAGATAAACCAGAGGGTTTACTCTCCGAGACTGGAAAGTTTGCAGTGGCTCCTAGGAAGTTGTTTTCCCCACCCTCTCCATCTATTTTCAACCCCGGGCTATCCTCCGGGCTGTTTGTCGTGACAATATTTCTAAAGTTGAACGCAACGCGTCCCCTGAATGAGAGCAATAAAAATATTTTTAAAAAACATTCTGTACTACTAGCACGAGTACATCTTTTTTAAGTTCAGTCTGTTATTGACTTTGTGCCTGCGATTGAATTCTAGACTTCGAAATTCTGAAGATATGAATCAATTAGGGGAGCGGTAGCGAAAAATGAATGTAGAGCGCAATTCAGAGAATTTTTTTTCAGGTTTTATTGCTGAAAAAAATCATGAGGGGTTCAATTTATTTTGGAGTTAAACGGGAGAGACGAGTAGATTAAACGGAAGGGTAAAACGTTCTTAAGGGAAATTTTCGAAACATTTTACAATGTTTTTATTATTTAAACTTTGCAGATCTGAATTTGAATGTCGATATTTAATCGTTAGAAAATATTTAAAATATCTCTATATTATTAAAATCGAAATTGATTTTTGGTGATGAAAATTTTGTACTCAAAATTAAAATTCCAAAATTAAGGGTCAAAATAAGGGTCACGAGGGTTATAATAAGGGTGAGGAGGATCAGAATAAGGATCTCCCGTTTGACCTCTCTTGACCCCTCAACCTTAATCGTTAATTGCGAGGAAAGTGCATCCGTTAAATTGCTCTATTCACCGGTAATCTCCCTCAATAGGATCGTTTTTCAATACAATTGAAATATTTTTGAATACGTGTAGTTGGAGAAGTATTGTTGGGAACAATGAAGAAAGGAAATATTACAGGGTATGTATGTGTGCATTATTGTGCACACCCGAAGGGGAGGCGTTTTGTCGACAGCCTCCTGTTGGCGAAAGGCACTCGCTGCAATTATTGATGAACTACCGGTAACCTCTTCCTGCCCAATGCCAATGTCATTATCATTACCGATGAATAATATACATAATAATACGCCGAGAATGATGCGAATGATGTAGATATCGAGGCATGTCGATATGCGATTGTTCTGAGAGAAACAAGTGGACAATTGCATTTTTTTATAAATGAGTATGGTTACAACCACTTTACCTCCACTACCATTTCGAACAGTGAAAATAGGATGTTCTACCCGTGCGTGTGAAAAAGTGGAACTTTACGCACTAGTAACACAATACACTATTTTTGCTACACCCTTCCTACGAGTCAAAAAACACGTTTTTGTGATATTCGCCTGATAAATTCACTTTTCGAAACGGTTTAGAGTGCGAAAAGCTGTTGTTTTTCGCATGGCGTAAAGTGAACTTTACGCACGCTCTTTAACTTTCCGCACTCATGTACAAAAATAAATTTACCTCCACTCCCATTTCGAACAGTGAAAATAGGATGTTCTACCCGTGCGTGTGAAAAAGTGGAACTTCACGCACTAGTGACACAATACACTATTTTTGCTACGCCTTCCTACGAGTCAAAAAACACGTTTTTGTGATATCTGCCTGATGAATTCACTTTTCGAAACGGTTTAGAGTGCGAAAAGCTGTTGTTTTTCGCACGGCGTAAAGTGAACTTTACGCACGCTCTTTAACTTTCCGCACTCATGTACAAAAATAAATTTACCTCCACTCCCATTTCGAACAGTGAAAATAGGATGTTCTACCCGTGCGTGTGAAAAAGTGGAACTTCACGCACTAGTGACACAATACACTATTTTTGCTACACCCTTCCTACGAGTCAAAAAACACGTTTTTGTGATATCTGCCTGATGAATTCACTTTTCGAAACGGTTTAGAGTGCGAAAAGCTGTTGTTTTTCGCACGGCGTAAAGTGAACTTTACGCACGCTCTTTAACTTTCCGCACTCATGCACAAAAATAACTTTACCTCCACTCCCATTTCGAACAGTGAAAATAGGATGTTCTACCCGTGCGTGTGAAAAAGTGGAACTTTACGCACTAGTAACACAATACACTATTTTTGCTACACCCTTCCTACGAGTCAAAAAACACGTTTTTGTGATATTCGCCTGATAAATTCACTTTTCGAAACGGTTTAGAGTGCGAAAAGCTGTTGTTTTTCGCACGGCGTAAAGTGAACTTTACGCACGCTCTTTAACTTTCCGCACTCATGCACAAAAATAAATTTACCTCCACTCCCATTTCGAACAGTGAAAATAGGATGTTCTACCCGTGCGTGTGAAAAAGTGCAACTTTACGCACTAGTAACACAACATACCATTACACACTCGTACAAAAATCTACTATTTCTTCACAATATCCATAAAACGACGTTTTAATAAAAAAATCACAAAGTAATTCTACAAGAAAACAAAAATCACCGAAATGTATTTTCCCCTGAAACTCCCAAAACTAATTCTCAACCCAAGAAGTTAATATATTTTTCTTATTACAGCGAGAGTTTATTCACTCGCAAATTTATGAAAAGTAGAGTAACCGAGGGGGGAGGTGGCATAATCCGCCGTGTGGCAGGGGGGATCGGGGGGAGGGGAGGGGAGGGGGAGCAGGGGGTAGGTGAAATGGGTGCAAGGGGTAGTATTGCGCAGGGTGTTGCGCATTGCCAGTGGGGTACATGGAGAGAACTTTCAGGGGGAAGTGATTTTCAGTCACCCGCGGTTGAGCGTGGGGTCCTGATCAAATTATTTCCGCGCAAGACCCCGACCTTCCTCCCGCGGCCACATATTGCGTACTCCTTTTTCTTTTCGTTATTATTATTTGTCCTGTTCACACTCCACCACAGCAACATGTTAATACAAGACCAATATAAAAAGTGAATATTGAAAAAAAAAAAGGTCAGAATAATCGGTAGATCGCAGTGTGAGCGCGATTCACTCAAAATTTGCTCAAGTTTTCATCTCGGACTCAATGACAATTTGCTCAGGACTGAGGGGTCATGGAACCGTCTGGTAATTGTGAGATTGAAAATACATCGAGGTAGATGAACAACAACAACAAGTGAACATTGAAAAATTATGGTGAACCCCGATCTCAAGATGATTTAATGAACAGGATAATGTCTCGTTTGTCCCCGTCCGAGGCAATGAAATCTGATTGGAACAGAGGGATCATCGCTCCAAGCGCATCAAGAGATGGCATCAAAAGCCTTGAAGAATAACGCAGCATCATGTTTTCGATGCAAAAGCTTCTCATTCCTCCGATATTAAATTCCCGTTTGTGAGCAGCCGTTCTTTGATGCGACTTTCACTCTCATCTCACGGCGAATTATCGACGAATGAATTGAGAATTAACTGTTAGATAGTTTTCAATGAGCATTCGAATTGTCAATATGCAGGGGCTGAATGAAGACATCATTCCACATATTCGTGGAAACAGCGATGGTTCAACAGACATGCAGTTGCAAGTCTTCGATTACATAAATTGAATAGGGTCACATTATCATCTTGAGTATTGAGAGCACACGAAATAACTATTCGAGTCTATTTTTATCACTGACTTTGGTTGATGTATTATCGCGATTTACTGATTCTGTTCAATGCATTCTACCCACCCTCACGGACTTAATTGAACCCGATGCACCGCGATACTGACCATTAAATGCATTGACGGATTATGATAAAGCCGAGAACTCGAGGATTTGAGCACGACCACTGAGTATGTCTCGCATTTACGTGGTTATATTAATATTCCATGCACTATCTCAGGTCTGGATGGAATTAAATATTTAATGGGTGAACGAATCATCGATCATTCGTACGGAGATAAAGAAACACGACAATAATTCAGATTTATGGAGGGAGTTTGATGATATATATGGATGACAATAATTAAATAAGACTGATGAAGAGGTCCCTGATGAATTTAAGAATGACGGGATGATTTGGAGATGGCAGGCACGACATTTTTAGGGAAACAAACACCTTTGGAAGTTGGAAGAAGAGTTTGAACGTTTGGAGAGATGTCTGTACATCATAAATATTATGTGAGTAAAAATTATGATGGAAATAAAGGAGTTGATGGTGAGGAAAAATTGAATGGATTTTTTTTAGTCTAAAATAGCTGAGAGTTGAGCATTTTTAGGTCTCTAGGAGGTCGCCTTCTTTCATTTTCGAGGTATTGTTCAGTCTCTGGATATTGCTAATTGATATCCAAGTACTGTGGCCATTTTTTCTCCAGTGAAATGCTCTTCTACTTTTGTACACTAGAG